ACCAGGCGTGGTGGTGTACACCTGTAGTCTCAGCTACTTGGGGCTGAGGTAGAAGAGAATCACTTGAACCCGGTAGGTAGGTGGAGGTTGTAGTGAGCCAGCCGAAATTGTAGCACTGTACTCCAAACTGGGGGACACAGCCTGAATCTGTTTCAAAAATAAAGAAGAAATGTTTGCCTAATCCAAGCATATGAAGATTTGCAGCTGTGTTTTCTTCTAAGAGTTTTATAATTTTACTACTTACATGTAGGTCTGTCATTCATTTTGAGTTAATTTTTGTGTATAGTAGGGGGCTAAATTCATCTTTTTGCATGTGGCTATCTAGTTGTCCCAGGACCTTTTGTTAAAAAGACTGGGTTTTTCTCCCTTAATGGTCTTGGCACCCTTGTTGAAAATCAGTTAACCATATATGTATGGGTTTATTTTAGACTCTCAGTTCTATTCCATTGACCTGTATGTCTGTCCTTATGCCAGTACCACCCTGTCTTTATTACTGTAGCTTTTTAGTCAGTTTTGAAATTGGGAAGTGTGAGTTCTCCAACTTTGTTTTTGTTTTTCAAGATTGCTTTGGCTGTACTGGATTTCTTCCAATTCCATATTAATTTTAGGATCAGCTTAAATTTCTGTGAAAAAGCCAGCTGGGATTTTGAAAGGGATTGTGTTGAATCTGGAAATTCTTTCGAGGAATATTGCCACCTTAACAATATTAAGTCTTGCAATCCATGAACATCAAAATGTGTTTACATTTATTTAGGTCTTCTTTAATTTCTTTTGGTAATACTTTTTAGTTTTCAGTGTACATTTCTTGCACTTCTTTTGTTAAATTTATTCTAAGTGTTGAATAGAAGTAGTGAGAGTGGCATATTTATCTTGTTCCTGATTTTAGGGAGAAAGCTTTCAGTCTTTCACCATAAAGTATGATGTTAGTTTATGTGCTGTTATGATTTGAATGTGTTCCCCAAAAGTTCATGTGTTGGAAACTTAATCTGTCTGCCCTATGAATGAATTAATGAGGCTCTGCTCTTATGCATGGATTAATGTTGCTGGCATGTGAGTAGGTCTGTTATTGCAGGAGCGGCTTTGTTTTAAAACCAAGCTTTCTCACACTCACTTGCCCTTCCGCCATGTTATGATGCAGCATGAAGGCCCTTGCCCAATGCTGGAGCCATGCTCTTATGCTTCCCAGCTTTCAGAACTGTGAGAAATCAATTTCTTTTATTCATAAATTATCCAGTCTGTGGTATTATGTTACAGCAACAGAAAATGCGCTAAGACGTGGGTAAACAGATGTGGGTTTTTCAGAGATGTCCTTTATTAGGTAGAGGAAGTTCCCTTCTATTCTTAGTATATTGAAGGGATTTTGAATTTTGTCAAGCACTTTTTCTATGTGTCTATTGAAATGATTGTGTTTTTCTCTTTCATTCTATCAATATGATGTGTTAATTCTTTTTAGCTTTATTGAGGTATAATTGACAAAAATTGTATATGTTTAAGGGATACAGCTTGATATTTTGATATACATGTACATTGTGAAATATCACCACAATTAAGCTAATGAATGTATCTGTCACCTCACAATTACCATTTTCTTTGTGTGTGTAGGTAGTGAGAATACTTAAAAAATTTAGAATGTACAATACAGTATTGTTAACTATAGTTATGATGCTGTACATTAGATCTCCAAAACTTACTTATCTTGCGTAACAGAAACTTTATACCTGTTGAACAACAACCTCCCATTTCCTCCACCTTCAGCCCCTGGCAATCACCATTCTACTCTCTGCTTCTATTGAGTTTGACTATTTTAGATTCCACAAACAAGTGAGGTCATGCAGTATTTGTCGTTCTGTGTTTTGCTTATTTCACTTAGCATAATGTCCTCCAAGGCATCCATATTATCACAAATGGCAGGATTTCCTTCTTTTCGTAAGGCTGAATAATATTCTGTTGTGTGTGCCTGTGTGCGTGCATGCCACCTTTTCTTTATCCACTTAGCCATTGATAGACATTTAGGTTGCTTCCATATCTTGGCTATTGTGAATAATGCTGCAATGAGCATGGGAATGCACATATCTCTTTGAGATACTGAACTCATTTCCTTTGGATGTATACCAAGAAGTGGGATTGCTGGATCATAGGGTAGTTCTATAATTTTCTGAGGAATCTCCCATACTGTGTTCTATAATGGCTGTACTAATTTATGTTTTCACCAGCACACCAGCAGTGTGTAAGGGTTCCCTTTTCTCCACATCCTCCCTAACACTTAACTTTTGTCTTTTTTTTTTTTCTGAGACGGAGTCTTACTCTGCCACCAGGCTGGAATGCAGCGGTGCAATCTCGGCTCACTGCAACCTCTACCTCCCGAGTTCACGTGATTCCCCTGCCTCATCCTCCCTAGTAGCTGGGACTACAGGCGCATGCCAACATGCCTGGCTAATTTTTTGTATTTTAGTAGAGACAGAGTTTCACCATGTTGGCCAGGATGGTCTCGATCTCCTGACCTTGTGATCCGCCTGCTTTGGCCTCCCACAGTGCTGGGATTACAGGCATGAGCCACTGCGCCCAGCCTTGTCTTTTTGATAATAGCCATTCTAACTACTGGAGTGAAGGGATATCTCATTATGTTTTTTTTTTTTTATTTTATTTTTTTTTTTGAGACAGGGTCTCACTCTGTTGCCCAGGCTGAAGTGCAGTGGTACAAGCTTGGCTCACTGCAACCTCTGCTTCCCAGGTTCAAGCGATTCTCCTGCCTCAGCCTCCCAAGTAGCTGGGATTACAGGCATGTGCCACAACACCCGGCTAATTTTTGTATTTTGAGTAGAGACAGGGTTTCACCATGTTGACCAGGCTGGTCTCGAACTCCTGGCCTCAAGTGATCTGCCCATCTTGGCCTCCAAAAGTGCTGGCATTCCAGGCGTGAGCCACCACGTCCGGCCCTCATTATGGTTTTGATTTGCATTTCCCTGATGATTAGTCTTTTCATATACCTGTTGGCCATTTATATGTCTTGGAGAAATGTCTATTCAGGTCATTGCCCATTTAAAAAATCAGGTTAATTATTTATTTGCTATTGAGTCGTATGAATTATTATGTGAGAAAAGAAGATTGGTTTGACCACAGAAAAACCTAAAATTTCCACATGGTGGAAAAAGTCAAAGACAAATGACAAACTAGAGAATAAACAAGTCCCCTTCATTATTTGCAAGTTGCCTTAATGTAAAATTAAAAGGTCACTGAATAAACAAAGGACATGAACTAACAGTTCGAAACAAAGAAAATGCAAATGACTATTAAATATATGAAAAGATGTGTAACTTTACTCCTAAAAAAAGAAATACAAATTAAAAGATTCCATTTTTCACATGTGAGAATGGCAGTGATGCAATTTAATGGCATACAGTGTTGGTGAGACTGTAAGGAAACAGGAACTCTCAGTATATTGGTAGTGTGAGTCTAAATTGGTTCAACTTCTATAGAGAGAAATTTGGCAGCATCTACCAGAATTTAAAATGTACACACTTCTAGGAATTCATCCAACACGTAAAAGACATTTTGGTTCATCTATACAAAGGAATACAGTGTGGTCCTTGTAAAGAATGAAGTAGCTCTTTATCTATTGATAGGAATATATATATATTTAACCAAGTTATATTTTTAAGTGAACGAAAGTAGAGAACACTGTATATTTGTTTTAAAAAGGAAAAAAAATATTTTCTTTATGTACCATTCAGAGTTCTTTGCTTATATATGCATCAGCTATCTCTGGGATGAACAGAAGAAACCAGAAACAGTATTTGCCTCTGGGGAAGGGAACTGGGTGGGTGGAGGATGAGTGGGGAAGATATTTTTTGTTTTATACTCTTATGTATACCATATGCATATATTGCCTATTACAAAGTTGAAACAAGGGGAGGGGAAGTGAGGAGACCAGTCAGGAGGAGCTGTTACAGTCGTCCAGGGAGTTGATAATGGTGGTGTAGGCTAAGATAGTGGCAGGAACGTGGAGACAAGCAGACAGATTCAAGATCTTTTCTTGGAGATAAAATCCGTAGGATTTGCTGATGAAGTAGGTGTGGGAGATGAGGGGAAGAGAAGAATCAAGGATGAGTCCCAGGTTTCTGTTAAGCAGCCGTGTGGGTGGAATTGAGTCCTTGTGTGTATGACTTGGTGTCTAAGGTGGTATTGTGTGGGCTCTTGAGCTTGACTGCCTGGGCTTAAATTCAACCTCTGCTTCCTAGCTCCACGACTTTGGGCAAGCCATGTAATGCTCTGTGGGCCTAGGTTCCTCATTTGTAAAGTGGGAATAATAATATGACCTACCTCACAGAGTTGTTGTAAGGATTAAATGAGTTAATACATGTATACTTTTTTTTTTTTTTTGAGATGGAACCTTGTTCTGTCACCCAGGCTGGAGTGCAGTGGCGTGAACTCGGCTCACTGCAACCTCTGCCTTCCAGGTTCAGGTGATTCTCCTGCCTCAGCCTCCTGAGTAGCTGGGATTACAGGCACCCACCACCATGCCCGGCTAATTTTTATATTTTTAGTAGAGACGGGGTTTCCCCATGTTGGCCAGGCTAGTCTCGAACTCAAATGATCCACCTACCTGGGCCTCCCAAAGTGCTAGGATTGCAGGCGTGAGCCACCGTGCCCAGCTGAGTTAATACATGTATGCTTTAGAATAGCTCTTGGCACATAGTAAAGGGTTTATAAGTGGTTGCTGCTATTATTGTTGTTGTTATTACTGCAACTACTATTGCTACCTGTGATTATGACTATGCTGCTCCTCCTCTTCCTCTTCCTTTGTCAGGGAGATACCTGACCCATTTCAGGGGCTTCCATAAATGTTACAGGAAGGGAGGAATGTTGAACCAATGAGTTGACCTATAAAATGAAAACCTTTTAAAGGCCCTCTTAGCGTTTGAAGAAATGGGATAGTAAAGTTGATACATTATGAGATTTGTTCATATCTTTTTATTTTTTAACTTTCATTTTCTGTGCAGACCTGAAGGCATTGAACGACAGTACAGGAAGAAATGTGCAAAGTAAGTATTAACAATGTGGATTTCTCCAAGCATAGGCAAGTAGAGGGATAATGTGTTAGGAAAATAATTATTTGGATACAACTCTCCATTATGTCTTTTTTTTTTTTTTGAGATGGAGTCTTGCTCTGTCGCCCAGGCTGGAGTGCAGTGGTGCGATCTCGGGTCACCGCAACCTCTGCTCCTGTGTTAAAGTGATTATCCTGCCTCAGCCTCTCTAGTAGCCGGGATTACAGTCACATGCCACCATGCCCGGCTAATTTTTATATTTTTAGTAGAGACAGGGTTTTGACATGTTGGTCAGGCTGGTCTCGAACTCCTGACCTCAGTTGATCCACCCACCTCGGCCTCCAAAACTGCTGGGATTACAGGCCTGAGCCACCTCGCCTGGCCCCCATTGTGTCTTTATCCTTATAATCTCAACTGCCTTCAGACTTCAACTAAGCACAAATACCAATATGTTCCCCAAAGAGGCTAGTCAAAGTTATATCTTTGATCAGATGGCCAGAAAAATGAATTTTTTTTTTTTTTTTTTTTTTTTTTGAGACAGAGTCTTGCTCTTGTTGCCCAGGCTGGAGTGCAGTGGTGCGACCTCCAGTCACTGCAACCTCCACCTCCCAGGTTCAAGCAATTCTCCTGTGTCAGCCTCCCAAGTAGCTGGGATTACAGGCACCCGCCACCACGCCTGGCTAATTTTTGTATTTTGAGTAGAAACGGGGTTTTGCCATGTTGGCCAGGCTGGTCTCGAACTCCTGATCTCAGGTGATCCACCCGCCTCAGCCTCCCAAAGTGCTGGGATTACAGGCGTGAGCCAACACGCCCGGCCTAAGTGATTCTTATCAGGTAGAGGTAGTTTTAGGAAACACTGAGAAGAGCCAATCATTAGTTTATGCCACCAACAGAAATATTCCCAGAGTCTAAGCACACTTTGCAAATTGCTGTTTTGGGAATTTGGATTATGAGACTTCGCAGAAATTCACTGTGCCATTGCAGGTGTGGACTGCCGCTCTTCTACCAATCCCAGCCGAAGAATGCTCCCGTTACCTTCATTGTGGATGGAGCGGTAGTCAAGTTCGGCCAGGGCTTTGGGAAGACGAACATATATACTCAGAAACAAGAGCCTCCTAAGAAGGTAATTAACCATTGAAAGAGAGACTGCTTAATATAGCTCTAGATTTAGCTCATGTTTTGAAATAAGATTATAGTGCACGAGAAACTGCTCTTTATGGATGTATTCTTTTTATTTCTTTTTTTTTTGTCTTTTTCTTGCTTTTATTTCTTTTTCTTTTTTCTTTATGGATATATTCTTATACTTTATTTTTATTTTTTAAAAGTTAAAAACAATTTGGGGGTGCATAGATGCACATATTTATGGGGTACATGAGATATTTTCATACGGGTATGCAGTGTGTAATCACATCATGGAAAATGGGGTATTCGTCCCCTCAAGCATGTATATGGATGCATTCTTTATTAATCGGGTGCCATTTTTGTGTATAAACAGACGCTATGTAATTGTAACACCTGTTATGTGTTTTCTGTTTTCTACAGTTGCCTCATGAATAAGGTTAGAAATTGTAGGGTTTTTACTCACATTATTTTCCTTCAAATTTTCCTCTTTTTATGGAGAGATGTCATCTGTTATTTTACATATGGTTCTTTTGAACAATTAAAAACAGTGAATTAGGCTAATTAAAAACTATGTTCCAAGCTGGGCATGGTGGCTCATGCCTGTAATCCCAGCACTTTGGGAGGCAGAAGTGGGAGGATCACTTGAGGCCAGGAATTTGAGACCAGCCTGGGCAGCATGGCGAGACCCTATCTCTACAAAAAATAAAAAGTAAATTGGCTAGGTGTGATGGTGTTCACCTATAGTTCTAGCTACTCAGGAGACTGAGGTGGGAGGATCACTGTAGCCCAGGAGTTTGAGGTTACATTCAGCTATGATTGTGCCACTGCACTCCAGCCTGGGTGACAGTAAGACCCTGTCTCTTAAAAAAAAATTAATTGCCGGGCACGGTGGCTCAAGCCTGTAATCCCAGCACTTTGGGAGGCCGAGACAGGCGGATCACGAGGTCAGGAGATCGAGACCATCCTGGCTAACACGGTGAAACCCCGTCTCTACTAAAAAATACAAAAAACTAGCCGGGCGAGGTGGCGGGCGCCTGTAGTCCCAGCTACTCGGGAGGCTGAGGCAGGAGAATGGTATAAACCCGGGAGGCGGAGCTTACAGTGAGCTGAGATCCGGCCACTGCACTCCAGCCTGGGCGACAGAGCGAGACTCTGTCTCAAAAAAAAAAAAAAAAAAAAAAAATTAATTGGATGGGTGCAGTGGCTCACGCCTGTAATCCCAGCACTCTGAGAGGCCGAGGCGGGCAGATCGCCTGAGGTCAGGAGTTTGAGACCAGCCTGACCAACATGGAGAAACCCCATCTCTACTAAAAATACAGAATTAGCTGGGCGTGGTGGTGCATGCCTGTAATCCCAGCTACTTAGGAGGCTGAGGCAGGAGAATCGCTTGAACCCAGGAGGTGGAGGTTACGGAGCTGAAATCGCGCCATTGCACTCCAGGCTGGGCAACAAGAGTGAGACTCCATCTCAAAAAAAAAAAAAGTAATTAAAAATAAATTTTAAGATCCCATGACGGACCATGCATAGTGTCTCTTGCCTGTAATCCTAGTACTTTGGGAGGCCGAGGCAGGAGGATTGCCTAAGGCCAGGAGTTGGATACAAGCTTGAGACATTAAGTGTTAAGGATGCTTTTTTATACCTTCCGTCCTTTTTTTTTTTTTTTTTTTGCGAGACCCAGTCTCTACAAAAAATGTAAAATTAGCCAGGTATGGTGGCATATGCCTGTAATCCTAGCTAAGTGTGAGGCTGAGGCAGGAAGATCACTTGAGCCCAGGAGTTTGAGGTTGCAGTGAGCTATGATTGCACCACTGTATTCCAGGCTGGGCAACAGAGTGAGACCCTGTTTCAAAAAAATAAAGTAAGTAAGAATTAAAAAAAGAGCCTTTGATGGCAAATGTTAGAAAAATATGTAAATAAAAACATTGGCACTTTTAAATAGGTCAGCCTGTCCCAAAGAGGTAGTGTTTCCCCTAGTACCCACAGCCCCTCACGCAGGCGTGTGCGCACACACTCACGGCTCATGGATCCTGTTTCGATGAACCGGACTGACTTCTTGCCTGCCACTCCAGGTGATGATGACCAAACGGACCAAAGACATGGGCAAGTTCAGTTCTGTCACTGTGTCTACCATTGATGAAGAGGAAGAGGAGATTGAGGCCGTAAGTGTCTCTGGTCTTAAGGAAACTGGAATTTGGGGGGAAGGGTGCAAGGAAAGGGAGCTGGAGCCTTGGAGTAGTGGAAATATTAGAGACTCCAGCTCTAGAGCTGGAGCCTTGGAGTAGTGGAAATATTAGAGACTTCACTTTTAGACCCTGCTTTGCTGATAAGAAACTGTGGGCTGGGCGCGGTGGCTGATACCTGTAATCCCAGCAGTTTGGGAGGCCGAGACGGGTGGATCATGAGGTCAGGAGATCAAGACCAGCCTGGCCAACATGGTGAAACCCCGTTTCTACTAAAAATACAAAAAAATTAGCTGGGCGTGGTGGTGCGTGACTGTAATCCAAGCTACTCAGGAGGCTGAGGCATGAGAATCGCTTGAACCCAGGAGGTGGAGGCTGCAGTGAGGCGAGATTGCGCCACTGCACTCCAGCCTGGGGACAGAGCAGGTCTCTGTCTCAAAAAAAAAAAAAAAAAAAAAAAAAAGGAAAAGAAACTATGACAGTGAGCTCATTCCTGTTTCCTTGAATCTCAGAGACATCTGTAAAATGAAAACGAAGGAGTTGGATGAGATCAGTGATTTTTTTTCCCACATACTATTTTTAGAGATGCCTTAGAGGGCAAAGTCCTCATCCCTCTTAATTTGAGAAACTATTGGACTGAATGATTTCAGGTTCCTTCCAGTCCAACTCTGATGGTTTGTGAGTCTGTCCTCAGTAGTAGTAGCAATTACCTTTATGGTTCTTCAGTATAATATTGATGGCGAGATGTCATCTGCTGTTTTACAAATGTTTCGGTTAAAATGTAAATGCTACTGAAGAATTACTTGAACCCAGGAGGTGGAGGTTGCAGTGAGCTGAGATTATGTCACTGCACTCCATCCTGGGCAACAGAGTCAGTTTCCGTCTCAAAAAAAAAACAAAACAAAAAACAAAAAAACCAAATCCGTCTCCCTCCCCTCAAAAAGATACCCTAATGCTCCTGGATTACTGAAAAGATGGAGAATGGAAAGGAACAGAGTCCTGCCATTTTAGTCATGATTTCATGATTTGAGTAGTATACATTATGACTTAAGGTCTTTGTTGTTATTCCTTGGTGAGACTTCTGGTTTAAGGATGCTCCTTTTTTCCTTCAGAGGGAAGTTGCTGACTCATATGCACAGAATGCCAAAGTGATTGAAAAACAGCTGGAGCGCAAAGGCATGAGCAAGAGGCGACTGCAAGAGCTGGTGAGTAGCAGGGGGTAGCAAGGTGCTGGGGCCCAGTCGTTTGGATATCTTGGTCTGAAAGACCTTCCAGCAGGCAGGGAAATCTTTTAGGAAATCTGTTGGGAGTTTCTAGAGTAGTTGGCTGCCAGTTTTATAACCCTGGTCTGTGACTGTCAGTATACCCTACTCTGTAGTAGTGACCCCAGGATCTGGGCCCTAAATCATGATACTTGTTATAGCCCTAACTAGGATGATATTTTATTTTATTTATTTTATTTTTATTTTATTTTATTTTATTTATTTTGGAGATGGAATCTCACTCTGTCGCCCAGGCTGGAGTGCTGTGGCGCAGTCTGAGCTGCGCTGATTTCCTATGGCCACAGCCTTGTCTTTTTGCCCATTTTGCCTACAAATAGCATTTTTTGTGTGTGTGCTATAACATCAGAAAGGTTGGAAGGTAGATGTTAGAGGTATATAATGATTTGGGAACTGTGATTCTAGTTTGTACACTAAATAAACATTAAGGGAGAGTGTTTGGGTTGGTTAGAATAAGGAAGGAAGATAATTTTGTGTCATGTATCAAGACATACACTTTTTTTTTTCTTTCTAGGCTGAACTGGAAGCCAAGAAAGCGAAAATGAAGGGGACCTTGATTGACAACCAGTTCAAATAACCAGGCCTTTTTCTGAGCCCTAGACTGGAGGCAAGCATTTAGATCAGGAGGCAAAGTAATTTCTTGATTACATAGATAGATGGACTCTTATTTGTGTCCTAGCAGAAGGCTTTACGTTGTTTCCCATTGGTTCTCCTACATTCAGTGAGGTCTTTAACTGAGTCCATTTGACTTTCTTTCTTTTTTTTTGAGACAGAGTCTTGCTCTGTCACCCAGGCTGGAGTGCAGTGGCACGATTTCGGCTCACTGCAACCTCCGCCTCCTGGGTTCAAGCGATTCTCCTGCCTTAGCTTCCCGAGTAGCTGGGATTACAGGCGTGTGCTACCACACCTGGCTAATTTTTGTATTTTTAATAGAGACAGGGTTTCACCATGTTGGTCAGGCTGGTCTTGAACTCCTCACCTCGTGATCTGCCCTCCTTGGCCTCCCAAAGTGCTGGGATTACAGACGTGAGCCACCGCCCCTGGCCACAAATCCATTCTCTTGTGTAATTTCCCTTTTGTTGTTGTTGTTATTTTATTTTAGTTTAGTTTTTGAGATGGAGTCTCACTCGGCCACCCAGGCTGGAGTGCAGTGGCATGATCTCAGCTCACTGCAACCTCTGCCTCCTGGGTTCAAGAGATTCTCCTGCCTCAACCTCCCGAGTAGCTGGGACTACAGGCACCTGCCACCACACCTGGCTACTTTTTGTATTTTCAGTAGAGACGGGTTTCACCATGTTGGCCAGACTGGTCTCGAACTCCTGACCTCAAATGATCCACCCACCTTGGCCTCCCAAAGTGCTGGGATTACAGGCGTGAGCCACCATGCCCAGCCTTGACCTGCTTTCTAGGAGATGGAGTTTTCTGAATTTTTCTGTATTTAGGTTTTCTGTACTATTTTTTGTCCATTTGATGCAAACTTCTTAAGCTGTGTAGAAACTTTATGAATAGATCAGTGCTTTAGTGTCTCCAGACGATTTTTGGAAAAAATATTATGGTGTGTCATAGAAAAAGCACCATGAATTATATTTAGGTATAGCAAGTCAGATCCTTTGAAGTGACTCTGTCTCTGTTCTTAGAAGGGTTCTTGGAATTGGCTGTGGTTTGAATCTTTCTACTGTCAGAGGAACCCCATTAAAAGCCAGAGTCTTCATAAGGCTTTCTTTACTTCAAACACTGAAGCTGTAGGTGAGCCATCCCATATCAACTGTATACTCAAAGAAGGAAAAGCCAGATTGCAGTGAGCGGGTAGGACAGCTCAGATCCAAATGAAAGTAGGGTCTCAAGTAACCCAAGACCGGGTGGCTCACACCTGTAATCCTAGCACTTTGGGAGGCCGAGGCGGGCAGATTGCCTGAGCTCAGGAGTTCGAGACCAGCCTGGACAACATGGTGAAACCCTGTCTCTACTGAACTACAAAAGAAATTAGCCAGGTGTGGCAGCATGCGCCTGTAGTCCCGGCTACTCGCGAGGCTGAGGCAGGAGAATTGCTTGAACTCGGGAGGTGGAGGTTGCAGTGAGCTGAGATTGCGCCACTGTACTCCAGCACTCCAGCCTGGACGACAGAGTGAGACTCTGTCTCTACAAAAAAAAAAAAAGTAACCCAAGGGAGGGAGCTACCATCTAGTCGGGCAGCTAGTACTGCTTCTTTGCATGGATACATGGGAGGGAGATGTTATAGATTAAGAAATGATAGCGAGATAAACAAAATGATCTGTTGGGTATCTTTTACTTTACGTTTGCTGTTTGCAGAGGAGTGTTGTATATATAGATACTATTTTATGTCACACTGCTTCAGTGATACCTATATCCATGTTTGTATCCATGTTTGTATCCATTCAACTGTATTAAAAGGTGTTGGGACAGGAGTTGTGTTAACCTTCTTGTGTTATCTACAAAAAGTTGCACTTAGTAGGTGCCCAAGGCGGTTTGTGAGGTGCTACGGGGAGATGATAGTAGGATAGTAGGTCAGGTTTTTGTTGTTGTTGTTGTTTGTTTTGCTTTTTTTCTGATCTTATTTGCAAGGCAAAGTAGGTTAGATGTAAGCTAGCAAGAACTGGGAAAAAGAGGGGTGGGGATCCCGGGAAGGCCCAGGATAGGGCTGTATTACCATCTTCCCGGTTATTTTCCTGTATCCAATGAAGTCTTTGCAACAAATTCTTCCTCTTCACCTTGTTTCCTGTCCTCATTCTGAGAGATAATTAACCGTCATATGGATGACAAACCATAACCTCCTTACAGTTCCTTAACCTCTACTCCAGAGAGTGACCTTTACCTTTCCTGCACTTTAGCCACAAACTCCCATACCACAGCCTGCATGTCATCCATTCCGCCTCCGAAATCCAGTACTCTGCTCTCTGACCACAACCTATCCTTGCTATTCTCATGTGCTCACTTCCTCTAAACCTATTTTATTTTGTTTTTAGATTTGAAGGGTGATTATTTTATTAACAGTAATAATGAAAAAATAGTAGTAAGAATAGCAACAATAATACTAGCTACCTTTTATTGAGCACTTACTATGTGTTGGATGCCATGGAAAGCACTTTACAGGTATTATCTTAGTCTAAACAACGCAACATCCAATGAGACAGGATTAACTGTTACCATCCTTGTTTTAGAAATGAGTGCTCCCAGGCTTAGAGAGTTTAAGTTTCTCAAGACCCCATAGCCAGTAAGAAATAAAGCCAAAAATCTGACTCTAAAACCTGAGCTCTTAACTATGCTGAACTCCCTCTGTGAATTTAAAACATATACATTATTCAGAACAGATTATAATTTCATTTTGAAAAATCAAGTGAAGTGCAAAGACAAGACACTTGCTTAGAGGACCGCCTGTAGCAAACATGTGGTTACCTTTCTACATATTTTCTGAAATACTTGTCTTTAGATACTAATCATAAACCATTTCAACATCTGGTTGAAATTATGCATGTTGCTTCATCTATAGGACTGTAAAACGTCATTAGCACCAAGCAAGCGTATGCTCTTCATTATGTTTTACTGTTTCATATTGAAATAGTTATTAAAATAACATGATATGTTAGTCTTTAGTTTCTCTATTTTCTTTATTAACTTGTATTTTAACAGGAAATACAGCATTTTACTGTTGGTATGAAGAGCCATGTTGACATTTGGGAGAGTCTTATTCTATTTTTTTTGTTTTTGCAAATTATCAACTATGACAAAACATTAAAATGTTGCAAAATGTTCTCTATTAATTAGTGGCATTTGGAATTGTCACTTTATTGTTTAAAATAAATTGAAAAGCTTTTTGAAAAACTAGGTTGCCTGGGCCATTTTAGGTTTCTTGTCACTCTGCCCATGTCTCCTCAGTCTCTTAATTTGTAAGTTTCTTCATGTTATCTCGTAATTTTAATTTGCATTTCCCTAATGGCAGATGGTGTTGAACATATTGTTTTCCTTTTTTTTTTTTTTTTTTTTTTTAACTGTGGTAAAAAGCACATAAGGTTTACCATCTTAACCTTTTTTTTTTTTTTTTTTGAGATGGAGTTTTGCTCTCGTAGTCCAGGCTGGAGTAAAATGGCGCAATCTCGGCTCACTGCAACCTCTGCCTCCCGGGTTCAAGTGATTCTCCTGCCTCAGCCTCCCAAGTAGCTGGGACTACAGGCGCCTGCCACTATGCCCGGCTAATTTTTGTATTTTTAGTAGAGATGGTGTTTCACCATGTTGGCCAGGCTGGTCTCCAACTCCTGACCCTGTGATCTGCCTGCCTCGGCCTCCCAAAGTGCTGGGATCACAGGCGTGAGCCACTGTGCTCGGCCCATCTTAACCATTTTTAATTGTACAGTTCAATAGTGTTAAGTATATTTGCATTATTGTGATACAGATTTCCGGAACTTTTTCATGTTGTAAATCTGAAACTCTATACCTATTAAGTAACAGCTCTCCCTTTCTCTCTCCCCACAACCCCTGGTAACCACCATTCTACTCTGTGTTTTTATGAGTTTGACTACTTTAGATTTCTCGTATAAGGGGGATCATATAACATTTATCTTTTTGTGACTGGCTTATTTCACTTAGCATAATGTCCTCAATGTTAAATCATGTTGTATGTGACAAGAACGCCTTCCTTTCTAAGGCTGAGTAATGTTCCCTTGTATGTATATACCACATTTTGTTTATCCATTCATCCATCACTGGACATTTGGATTGCTTCCACCCCTTGCTATTGTGGAATAGTAGCACTATGAACATGAGTGTGCAAATATCTCTGAGACCCTGCTTTCAATTCTGATATATACCCAAAAGTGAAATTGCTGGTGGTTCTATTTTTAATTTTTTGAGGTGCCTCCATACATACTCTTTTCCACAGCACTTGTACCATTTTACAATCTTTTTTTGTTTGTTTTTGAGACAGAGTCTCACTCTATCACCCAAGCTGGAGTGCAGTGGTGCAATCTCAGCTCACTGAAACCTCTGCCTCCTGGGCTCAAGTGATTCTCTCACCTCAGCCTCCCAAGTAGCTGGGATCACAGGGGTGTGCCACCATGCCCAGCTCATTTTTGTATTTTTAGTAGAGATGGAGTTTCACCATGTTGGCCAGGCTGGTCTCAGACTCCTGACTTCAAGTGATGTGCCGGCCTCAGCCTCCCAGAGTGCTGGGATTACAGGCATGAACCACTGTGCCCGGCCACATTTTACAATGTTATCAGCAATACACAAAGGCTCTAATTTCTCCACATCCTCACCAACACTTGTTGTTTTTTTTTTATTTTTAATTTTTTAGTAGTAATCATCCTAACGGATGTGAGGTGATATCTCATTGTAGGTTCTTTTTTTTTTTTTTTTCATTTCTCTAATGATTAGTGCTGTTGAGCATTTTTTCATATGCTTGTTGGCCATTTGTATATCATCTTTAGAGAAATGTCTATTCAAGTTCTTTTGATCATTTTAAAATTGGATTATTTGATTTTTTGTGGTGGTTAATTTTTTTTTTTTTTTTTTTTTTTTTTTTTTTTTTTTTTTTTGAGACAGAGTCTCACTCTGTCATCCAGGCTGGAGTGCAGTGGCATGATCTTGGCTCACTACAATGTCTGCCTGCCAGGTTCAAACGATTCTTCTGCCTCAGCCTCCCGAGTAGCTGGGACTACAGGTGTATGCTACCACGCCTGGCTAATTTTTATAGTTTTAGTAGAGACGGAGTTTCACCATGTTGGCCAGGCTGGTCTCGAACTGA